TTGTATATAATATAAAGTCATAGTTGTAAATACCAAGAGAATATGAAACTTATTAAGTCGATTTTGATGTGAAACAACATGAAGAAGCTGAGTATTATTACGGCATAATTGAAATTAAATGTCCCAAAACAAAAAAAAATTTGTCTATGTCAGAATGTTTATGTGACAATGATTTTTATATTGGATTAGAAAACGGAGAACCATATTTAAAAAAAGGTCATCCCGCTGGTTATTATACACAAATACAAATGGTAATGGGGTTAAGTAATCCCCAGTTTTGCGACTTAGTTGTGTATACATTTAAAGAAATTGCTATCATAAGAACATTTTTTGACAATCAGTTCTTTTTTGAATTAGTTAAAAAATTAAATAATTTTATAATAACTATTTTCTACCACAAATATTGGGTAACAACGTTAATATTCAAGAAATAATATCCATGTAAATAAATGTTTTTATTTTTAAGTTATTTTTAAGATAAGTGGTGGGAGGAAGTTACATAAAAGACAAGTGACTGTCCATAGTTGGTTAATCGACCCATGAAATGCTAAAGAAATTTCTTGACTTATTTTGCGAAATACTTTTATTCTGTGTATAGCTCGTTCTATATGAATTCTCAAAGATGCTATAGTTTGACTTTCTATTGCATCTTCTTTACATAGCTGTAATGGTCCGTTTAAAAAAAATGGTATGTTTAATTTAACATTGATTGTTTTCAAAATATCTGAGACGGTAAACCCATAACTGAATAATTTTCATCCCATAGTTTTTTATTAAGAAAAATCAATGATGCATCTTGTTGAAGGAAATGTCATCTTGAAGTTTTCTGGCATATACTTATCAACTTATTCCTGTGATAGCCAAATAGGAACACTTCTCAATGAAAAATATAGAAAATTTGTCCATGTTATTAAATAACGTTGTAGATTTTGATATTTTGAATAACCAAGACGTGTGAAAAATTGTAAATTTTCCATTTTTTAGCAACACTTTAAACATAAATAACTGATCTTTTGTGTTTAATTTTGGTTTTGGACCAGATTTTTCCTTATTGACTAAAACATTAATTTTTTTGGATAGTGATGAGTTGTGATATTTAATGTTTTCTCCATCATTTCCTGGATTTAAAAATTTGTACAAATTAATAAACTGTTCATGCTCAATGCCAGTATACTTTTGGAACAATTTTTGTCAGTTGACATATTTTCATAACTATGAATATATTTTCTTTTATATTGATTTAATTGATTCTTTATTATTTTGTTTTCAGATTCTAAATAGAACATTTTAGGTATCAACTCTTGTTTTCTTTTTCCAATAAATCAATTTTATGTTGTAGGTCCTCGCAACAGCTTTTTTTTAGACTGCTGTCAACCTCAAAGTCAATTAACTATACTTTGTTATTAATTCTAATGTCATCGTTTTTAGAAACGTTTTCAAAATTTTCAAGTAGTTTTATTTTTTTAGGAGAAGACCTTTTTTTACATCAATTTGCTTTTTAAATTGAAAAAAAGATGGGAATGCTCCCTTTTTGAGAGTTTTTTTGCTAATATTTGTAGATAATTGAATATTTTCAACTTTAAAATGAAGCTCGCAAACTAAAGTTGTATCCTTTATAACGAAATTGTCATTACCCCTTTTCTTCTAAACTGAGAAATAATTTTAGACCACTTATTACGACAAGCAGTGTCCTTAGGAATTTTAAATAATCCAATGCCTGACTTGTTTCCTTGAGAATCGTAAAATAAACTTTTGCATTGTGGAATACAGCAATAAGCTCCAATGCCTCCAAAATCAAGTTTTTAACTTTTTCCAATGTGGAACAGGCAAAATTACAGATATTTAAAAAAATACTAATAGCTACTAAATTTTAATGTTTACGTTTTATCATTGCCCAAGAACATTACGTCATTTTTAAACATTACATCATAGGAATGCGGGATGCGTCTAATAGACGCATCCCGCATTCCTATGATGATAAAAAGAATAAACTCAGTATCAAAAGCTTTACAAGATTCAAAAATAACATTAGGTACATGCCATTTACTCCTATCTTTGCTAGCAGATTACATTCAGAATTTGAAAGACAACAATGAAGATTTTGAAGGTGAAACTAAACATTTACTTCCTGACACAGAATATTCACATAGAAAACATCGAACAAAGAAAAAATTCTTTGATGATCCAAACCATGAAAAATGTGTTATAATAAGTCCAAAAGAAAGGTTTCAGAAAGATGTTTTTATCAAAGTCGTCAATGCAATTCACTCAAATTTGAATAAAAGAATACTTGCATATCATGAATCTAAGACACTTTTTGGATTTTTGATTAATGTGAACATCGATAATGCGAAGCTAAAGAAAAATGATGTAGAAAAATTTGAACAGTATCATAAAAATATCGATATGTCTTTGATGAAATTTTGCAATTTCATAACTTTATCAAAACTAAATATCAAGAAACAGCTATGATTCACTTATTCATTTATAAGCTGATAAAAAATAAATTACATTTCCAAATCAAAAAATTTAGAAATCGCATTTTCAAATCTTGAGACAGTTTTGAGAACCTTTTTATGATTTTATTACATTTTTATGCTTTTATTATAACAATTTTTATACTTTTATTATAACAAGTTGTTGCGGTGAAAGAAATTTTTTAAAACTTAAACTAAACAAAGGTTTTTTGAGATCAGATATGAATCAAGATACTTTGAATAATTTATCAATTTTATCTATCAATGCGGATATAAAACTTTTTGAAGCGGATTCTTTAATCGATAAATTTTGTCAAGAAAAAAAAAAAAAAAGTTCTTCAAGTAAAAAGATTATTCAAATTTACTCCTATACTGAAATGTTATTTTTTAGTTTTTTTTGCATTTATAAAGTCTAGCTACATATATGGGAAACAGTATTATACTGTCAGTATACTTATGCAATTTATATTTATGTAAAAAATAAAAAATTGACATAAGAAAATTCTAGACTTTTTTGAAAAAAGGGCCTCAAAAAGCGATTCGGCTTAGGGTCCTAAACGGTGTAAATCCTGCCCTGCCCATGACATCTGGGAACCTCTACTACGTTTTGCGCTGCTCTCCCACGTTATGAATTGCTTTCTCAAGTCGGGGTAATGTTAAATTCTGAACATTGCCCAGATCTAGTGGAAAAAATTCAGTAGCAGTCTACCACCTTAAGAACATATTAAAAACACATATAAAGAGATGTTATTTTGCGTTGTCATGGTTTTCATAGTACAGTATTAGAATTTCTCAGTTGCCACATCTGAGTTTTTTTTTTTCACTAGATCTGAGTTTTTTTACTGCTGTAAAGATTCCTGTGTTGTTGTTTTTTTGTTTTTTTTTGAGGGGTATTGCCAAAGCTAGGTATATTTCATTTTTGGGGTTTTTGTTGATAAAATTTAGGTTTATATTTATTTGCCGATTTGCAAATTATCTTTAATCAACAGTTTAAGAATATTTAAAGTTTGATATTCGAATTTTATTTCAAAAATTCGAATTTTAGTTGGCTGTCCCAAGAAGCGGTCATCAATAATGTCCTTGAATAATGGGATGCTCTTCAGTTGTATTTTCGATCCAAGCTTCAGTGGATAAATTTGATTGTGCCGATCAAATCTTACAGGCAATGAACAGTGTTGGCACAAAACACATGCTTTTTTTTGTTGGCTACATACTGAGCAAACTATAATGTCATGAAAATTGAATTCCGTTCTCAGAATTTCTGTCTTCACAAGTTATGCAGCAGTGTAATCAGCTAGTATCTTTTCCTTCTTAGTCTTTTTATTAAACAAGGAGTATTGAAGCATTATACTCTTGCCAAAATTGACCCTTCAGAAGTAACCAGCCACAAGAAACTTGATATCATTGAGTTGGGTGGACGATGTCAACCATTACGAGAAAAAGAAGTTCTGGGACTGATGCCCCTGTTGGACACTATGCATGCTCTTCTGAGCAATTCGTGATGGACGTTGCCGGCAGAGATATGCTGATATTTTAAAACTCAACAAGCAGTTGTCCGGTTGTCAATATGGATGCGGAGTCGCTTATAAGTGACAGTTATAATACAATTTAACTTCTGAGCATAAAAATCAACTTAAATGGTAAATAACCCTAATAAGGTTTCTTCAGTTATTTAGTAAATAAATTTAGTACATCGTAGTATACTTTTAATTATACTACTTAGTATAATTAATATTTAATATTTTTGGCTTAATGCTATTGTTAAAAGTGCCGCCTTTACCCACGGTCATCACGCGCAAAAAAAAAAAATCACGATAACTTTTTCACGATAACTTAATACATATTGTTTACATAATTTGGGTATTTCTGGACTTTTGGGAAGGGAAATTTGGGGTTTTCTCCAAAACTTGAGTGGTAACGCTGGTTCAATTACAATCTTTACTCCAATTGGCATCTATCAAATAAACATATGTATATATTATATTTATATTTATTAATCATCCACTGTGTATAATAATATGTACAAGGTAAATTAGTATAAAGTTACATATTTGAAAAGAAATAAGTTTATCTTAGAATATTTACTTCAAGAATATCTTTGAAGACTTTCCTTTGCTTCAATGAGTTCCAGAACGCAATTGCATAGCTTAACCTTTGAAGATCTTTTTTAAGAATTATATTTTTTATCACAATAATTTTTTTTTTTTGTTTGATTGATTTTTGATGACTTGATAATTAAGTTCTCTAGATTTAGTTTATTTCGATTGCATAAACCTATGACATCATCTATATGTGTAATATATATATATATATATAAATATATATATATATATATATATATATATATATATATATATATATATATATATATATATATATATATATATATATATATATATATATATATATATATGTATGTATTTTTTTAGCTTTTATGTACTTTGTTTAATATATTGATATTGTTTAATATAATTTTTATGTGTTTTATGTATATTAAATAAATATTTTTCATTGTTATTTACATTATTTTTATAAGCAAATATAAAAGATTAAAATATGGGAAAAGAAAAGCCTGGTTTTTTGACTCCAAAGGCTATATCAAATCGAATTAAATCAAAAGGATTGCAAAAGTTACGTTGGTATTGCCAAATGTGTCAAAAACAATGTCGTGATGAGGTTCATATTCTTTTAAGCTACATGTTTTTTTTTTTCTTTTTTGATGTTTTTTTTAGTTTTTTCTTTTCTTTTCTTTTGATAAGCTGATAGGTAAATCGAATTTGTCTGTCAGAAATTTGTTTTTGAAGCATATAAGTTACTTTAGTTCATAGTAGTATTATCATTTAATTTTTTACTCAATTATTATTTCAAGCTATTTATCTAAGTGTTGATATAATTACTAATTCTGTTCATTGAAATTAATCTCAATCATGTCTCTGGTAGAATAATATATTTTAATGTTATATATAATATGAAACCTTTTTTCTTAATAGACTATTTAATTAAGTACATATAGAAATAACAAGTGATTCTAATATGTACATAACTGTTAATCGATAAATTAGTTTTTTTATTATTATTATTTTTTTTTGTATTCTTTCATAAAAGTTTGAAACTTCTATGAGCTGGGAATCTATCGAGACCCAGCTATAGTAGACTGACAAAAAATTGAATTAATCCATTTGTCATAGTTATTTTTGAAACTGTCTTTGAAGCAACAACAAAATCTGGTAGACTATTTCAGTAAGGTGCTACACTTGCTTAAAAAATTTTGTCTAGCTGAATTTCTAGTAAACTCTCTATGGATTTTGAATTTCGCATCGCGTAGACTACCAACTGGGCCATTGACTGTTAAAGACTGAGAGTATGATTTTGCCACTTAAATATATTAAAGTTCTTGAAAATTTTAAAATATTGTATCAGGTCAACACTTATTCTGCGTTCGTTAAAAGTTGTTAAACCCAACTTAGCCAGGCGTGACATTAGATGCGTAGAGTTTGAGAAACTCAGGTATTAAAAAATTATCTTTTAAGCAATATTATTAAATAAGCAAGTGGAAATTAGTTGGAGAGTAAAATTATAAAGTGACTTTTGATTTACTTAGTTTCAGAAGAGTTACATCACAAACATTGTTTATCTAAAAAATGATTGCAACATTCCGCTAAAGCATTCTTAAAGTGCCCTGAGTGATAAATTTTTCACTTATCTGAAGATAGTGACAGAAAGTCCTTTCTGTCCTTTCTGTAATTTGTTTATTCTGTATAAACAAATGTTTATACAATAAGTCTCATTTTTAGCCCCATCCTTGGCTAAAAATAAGACTTTTTGCAAACCCGGCCCCAGCCCTGGTAAAACTAAAAAAATTAGCAGGGGTTGATAGCTGGGGCTAGAAGAAATTTATAATGCTTTATATATTATAACTTTATGCTTACATTTACTATTTATTAAATGCTGCCATATATTTATATATTTTTAAACTCTAATTTATTGCCAACAAGATTACAAGCAACCACTACTAAGTTATGAGTTACTTTAAATAGAGAATAAGTTAAAGTACTAGGAAACGGTCAACTGAAAACTTAAAACGTTGTAGCTTGTATAAAAAAATATATATGAAGATAGGTAAGAGATATAACGTTTTTTTAGATGTGAAAGGAAATAAAATGGATTAATAGAAGTTTGTATAGCGTGAAGGGATAGATACAGCAACTAAAATCTTATGCAACTTGTTGAATAAGAAGCCAAGCAAGAATGAGTTTTGGTTTATCGTTATAGAGCTCGTTTGAGCATTGGTTTATCAGTTTTGGTTTATCGTTATAATAGCTCGTTTGAGCATTGATCATGATAGTATTTGTAGAAAAAAGAAAGAAATGCAACCTTACAACAGTAGAAGTGTGGCTCAAGCTTGGCAGATAAAGCAGGTCTAATTACATTTACTGTGCTTTAAGACTTTGTTTGAGAGGAAGAGGGTTGTTATTCATCAATATGATGAATTTAAAAAATTGTGAATTTCAAGCCCAGAATTTAAATCCATAAGCCACTGCAAGCCTTAGGCTATTACAGAAGAGAAATCAGAATAAAAATTGGCTCCTTGTCAGCAAATACTTTAGATAAATACTTTAGCAAATACTTTAGATGTAAAATTTTCATGAAGATCGATATTGTAGATAAGAAACAATACATGAGCAAAGATAGAACCTTGCAGTACCCTTAAAGTTACATGAAATAAAGAAGAGTGTAAGCCTTCAAGAATAACTTCAATACTGCAGAAATAAGTAAATTAATCTCAAATCCTTTTTATAAAATTATTATTGGGTCATTCCATGTCAAATCAATTAAAAAAAAAAAATTTCCGCACTATACCATCTTGGATTTTGCTGATTTTTGGAGTAAAAGCTTAAATTAATGAAAGAAAACTTCACTCCAAATTATAGTATCAGACTTCTTACGGTTTCAGAGATATTGATACTCAGTCCCAATCTCTTTTTTGACTTTTTTTTTCAGCGCCATTTATTTTTTAAGCTTATTGCACCACACAATTAGCTTTAACTTATGAAATACTTGTTCAATAGTGAAGAAAATTTCTACCTAACTACTTTTTAGGGTGAGGAACTCAAAAATCATGACTAAAACATTAAAAAATGTAAGCTTCTATATAAATATTCAATTTCAAAATGGTGTAACACTTTTTGCAAGATTTTTGATGCCCCGTACAAAAAAAAGTTTATCTCAAGATGCCTAAATGGTATGATTCTGAAATTTTTTCCTAATGTTCTATATGTAACAAACTCTATAATACAAAAAATCTGGAAGGGTTTTCTTTTTTAAATCAAATTTATTTGCATTTAAAGTCTTACAATAATAAATCAAAAAAATATTAAAATCACACTAAAACCATGGAAATAATTAAATTACAATAAGAAAAATTAAAACTAGAAGGTAATAAGAATTAACAATCATTGACATTTAAAAAAAATAAGAAATAAAAATCTTTGACAAATAACAAATTAGTTCTCTGGTTTGAAGTTTGCCCAGCTATCTTTAATAATGGTGATCAATTTCAATGATTTTGTATTGTCTTCCTGTAACAGTTGTTGGAATATTAATCGTTAGCAATGAGTTTGTTGATGGAACCCAGCAAACATCATCTCTAGAAGGCCAACATTATGACCTTGAAGGGTAACATGGATGCATGAAATTAACTTGAAAGTCTTTATTTTCAACATCAATTTCCTCAACTAGTCCAATCCATGGATTGTTATCATATATCAAACATACAAACACACCAATGCTTATATTAGACAAGAATTCTTTAATATTCTCATCAGTTTGAAAATTAAAAACAAATGAATACTCCAATTGTTCAGAAACAATTTTAGTTCCAATTTTTGTGTTACTTATTGGAACAAAATTGTGATAGCTATGAGTGCCTGGTAACCGTTTTTGCAGTTGTATATCTTTTCTCCATTTCACTTCGAATTATCGTGTTTGACTCCTTGGATATGTAATAAAAATTAATTCCTATGATTTCATTTTGGCAAAAATTAAACATTGCAGACGCTGTAAGAATATGATTTGTTGTTGTTCGGTGAAGGCTAGCAGTTGAAGTCAGTCTTTTTACAGTCCCACCAATACCATCACAGGGTGGTTTACTGTGACTTGTTGCAAAGAAAGACCAGGTACATTTCATAGCAAAATCTTGTTCATGGTAGCATATATTTACGAAGTGTTTGCAGTTCTTGTACTGGCCAGCACACCCATCTGAAAAGTAATGGACACTTTCTATTTGATGAGAAATATTGCTTATAATATGTTCAATTGTTAGCTTCATCACATGATAAACCATATCAACATCATGCAGTAAATTATCTGAGATGAAACATATTGAATCACATTTGAGGACATTATTTTCTTTATAATAAATTACTGTTAGATGCAATGTGGCTTGAATTTTGTTCCAATGAAAACTTTGTATTTTGTCTTGTACAACAAACTCGTAATTTTCTGAGAAATCACAAAGGATGATGACATCAGTACTACTTAACTCATTTTTTAACTTTCTTAAAGAAGCAGCTTGACTTTTTGCATTGTAAGAATGAACAGTAAGTTTTTGTAACTTATTTTTCAAAGTATTAATAAAGCTACTTGTCGTTTCTGTTAGACTTAATAGTTCAGATCGGTCTGTTGTTTTCCATTGTTTGTAATCTATACCATAATCATCATCTTCATCAATATCGTCTTGAGAGTACAACTCATTTTCAAGATAATGTACCAATGTAGAATCTTCTGGGCACAAAGGGCAACGATGTATCATGCAAGTCTTGTTTGCCCTACTACAAACAAGCATATCAATAAGCTTGTGATAATCCCTTGATAATTTAACTGCACTAATCATTAACTTAACATTTTGATGGTAGGTGCACACACATACTGTACGCGTACCAGATGCTCCAACTGTAATGCACCATTTTGGACGATTTGAGCAAAAGTTAGAAAAACAGCTCTTTATATCTGGATAACAGGTTTTAAACTTTGCATATAGCTCTTTTAGATTTGAAAGAAATAAACGCTTTTACATATGAGATCTTCGGGCTATACTAACAAAATATTTTTTACCAGACATTAGCCTGCTATTTTCATCATTACAATAAAATTTAATAATTTTATCTACTGTTTCTTGAGGTATTTCCTTTTCTTTTTTCAGGAAAAGATAAAATACCATTTTTCTGCAGCAATTAGCATGATATCTGCACCATATAATTAGTAACATTAAATTCTTTTTCTATATCTTTGTGAGACCAAGAAATTGAAATCAGTGTTAGTAGTTGAATTTTCTGATTACGATTGGAAATTAACATTTTTTCTTTGATTTTTCTAATAAGTATATCCATGTCATTTGCTTTACCTTTAACTTCCTTAGATAATTTATTGAAGGAATCTTCTTTACTTAACTGTTCAGGATCTATATTTAAAGTCCTTGCAATACCTAACTTAACTGTTTTTTGAATATGTAACAATTTTTTTTTGCCAAGAGCAACTCTTGAGTGACTATTTACAGCATGCATTTTGAGAGGACTTATGTTCATAGTCGTCAAAGAAGAATGAAGATTTTTTTTTAACAATTCATTTATATTAAGCTCATTATCTTCATCTTCATAAATCTGGCTACAAGTTGGTTC